AAAAAAGAAAAGGAAAGGGGAAGAGGGAGAAGAAATAGAAAAAGGTGCTTTCCTATGTCCTTCCTGAATCTGAACTTTTCCAACTTGAAACCATTGCTGCGAGTCCTGTCTTGGCTGGATGTTTTCAGCACGCTATTTACATCCCCCTTATTTATTCCTGTTTTCCATTTATACACCTCAGTCATGTCCCCCCTAATTCTACGTCTTTCTAGAGAGTGCAGATTCAGGGCCCTCAGTCTACCCTCATAGGGAAGATTTCTGATACATGGGATCAACTTTGTCATCCTCCTCTGTACGTTTTCCAGTGCATTTATATCCATTCTGTAATACGGTGACCAGAATTGTGCAGCAAAATCTAAATGAGGCCTAACCAAAGATATATAGAGTTGAAGAACAACCTGAGGACTTCTATTATTTATACTTCTAGATATGAAGCCAAGGATTCTGTTAGCTTTATTGCGAACACTAATGCACTGTTGTCTTGGTTTTAGATTACTGCTAACCAGAACTCCTAAATCTTTTTCGCAAATCAGATCTACACTATTCAGTTTATAAGTGGCATGGTTATTGTCCTGTCCAACATTTAGCACTTCGCATTTATCTATATTAAACTGCATGTGCCACTTCGTCCACTGCATCAGTCTATTCAAATCATCCTGGAGTGCACTGATGTCCTCAATAGAATGAATTGGACGGCCTATTTTGGTGTCATCAACAAATTTGCTTATGTCGCTATTTATTCCCTCATCTATATCGTTTATGTAAATTGTGAACAACAAGGGGCCCAGCACTGACCCCTGTAGAACACTGCTTGGGACGTGCCCCCATTCTGATTTCTCCCCATTTATGCAAACTCTGCTGCCTATTTGTCAGCCATGCCTCTACCCAGGAAAAAATTTCTCCTCCTATTCCGTGCCCTAAGTTTCCTCAATAGCTTCTGGTGTAGAACTCTATCGAAAGCCTTACTGAAGTCCATATACACAATATCATATTCATTACCATGATCTACCTCCTCAAACACCTTAGTGAAAAAAGTTAGTAAATTCGTAAGACAGGAACGCCCCTTTGTAAAACCGTGTTGAGATTCATTAATCAATCTGTGCCTATCAAGATGGCTACGATTTGCTTCGGCAATTATTGATTCCATAAATTTTCCCCCACTAAGGAGGTAAGGCTTATTGGTCCATAGTTCGAAGCCAAGGACCTGTCACATGCCTTGTAAATAGGTATTACATTTACCATTTTCCACTTATCAGGCACTTTGCCAGTTTGTAGTGATATGTTAAAAAGATTAGCCAAAGGTTTGTTAAGTTCCTCTTTACATTCCTTTAACACACTTGCAAAGAGTTCATCAGGGCCTGGGGATTTGTTAGGTTTTAGTTTCTCTATTTGTCTGAGGACCATGTCACTAGTTACCGTAATCGTACATAGTTTATTATCATCCTGTTCTACATAATTTATTATTTCTGGAATTTCGCTAGTATCTTTTTGAGTAAAATTTGAGAGGAAGTAAGAATTGAAAATTACACACATATCCCTATCACTGTCAGTGATCTGACCTGAGTTACTCTTAAGTGGGCCAATCTTGTCTCTATTGTTACTTCTGTATACCTGAAAGAATCCTTTTGGGTTAGTCTCCGAATTTCTTGCGATCTTAGCCTCATAAACCCTTTCTGCTTTTTTGTTCCTTTTTTTATTTCTCTCTTTAATTGAATATGTTGATTTCTTAACTGCCCACCCCTCTTTTGATACGCCTAAAAATGCCTCTCTTTTGACCAATGAGATGTTTTAATCTATTGTTCATCCATTTTGGATCATTTTTGTTAGATCTGATTTCCCTACTCGGAACAAAAGTTGTCTGGGCAGCTAGAACTATGCTCTGAAAAACGTCATATTGGCAACCAAGATCACCTACCTGACCCATAGTCAGGACATCCCAATTTAGCCCACCCAGGTAATTTTTCAGTCCCATGAAATCAGCCAATCGAAAGTCTGGGACAGAGACTTGATTGCAATTTACTGGGTGAATTGTGATTTGTGAACATTTTCCCCAAGCTCATCATTAACCTCAAGATTATTAATTAGTGAATCTTTGTTGGCAAGAATCAAGTCAAGCAGATTGTTTCCTCTAGTTGGTTCTGTCACAAACTGTTTTAAAAAGCAATCCTGAACCGTATCAAGAAAGTCACTAGACTCAAGATTTCCTGTCAGATTGTTCCAATCAATTTGTCTAAAGTTAAAATCCCCATTAACACAACATTTTCTTATCTGGACACCTTATGAATTTCGTCCCGTAGCAGCTTACTGCACTCCCTATCAAGGTTTGGGGGCCTATATATCACACCCAAAATTAATTTTTCATGCCCCTCGAGAAACTGTAGCCAAACAGATTCTATGTCCCATGTTTCTATTTTAACATCATGTCTAACACAACAATTTAAATTATCTCTGACATACATCGCCACACCACCACCCTTCCTGTTGACCCTATCAGTGTGGAATAGTTTATAACCCTTGATGCTGCATTCAGAAGGCATTTCTCTATCCTTCAAGTTGAATCAGGTCTCAGTTATAGCAATAATATCTAAATTACCTGCACTTGCGAGTAATATTAGCTCATCTATCTTATTTCTTAGACTGCTACTATTTGTATAGTAAATCTTATTAAGGGAGCTAGTCTCTCGTTGCCTTCTACTATCTCTCTTTGTTGATCAGTTGCTTTGTCTTTATTAGCAACTTTTTTTTTGAATATTGTCTTTTAAACATATCCTTGAGGTATCCTGGTAATATCTGCTGTTTCCAGCAATAATACTGCAGACTGATTGTTTCCCACAAACACCCATACCTCTATAATCTATCAGTTTAAAGTCCCCTCAATCGAATTGACTAATGCAACCACTCCAGCCCCAGAGAGATGAACCCCATCCCTTGTATACATATCATGTTTGCCATAGAATTTGTCCAAGTAATCAATGAATGGGACTGCAAGTTACTTGCAGTACCTGTCTACCCAGCAATTTATACCAATTGCCCTAGACATCCATTCATTGCCTACTCCCCTTCTAGGCAAGATGCTACATATGATAGGGATCCCTCCCTTAGACCTAACTACTTCTATGGCTGACCTGTACTTATCCAGTAGCTCCTGTCTCCTGCCCTTTCCAATGTCATTTCCACCAGCACTAAAATAGATAATGGGCTTGTTCCCATTACTTGACATAATATTATCCAACCTGCTGACTATGTCACCAACACCATCTCCTGGGAGGCACACACACTGTCTGACTTTTCTATCTCTGCTACAAAAAGCATGGTCCATATATCTTACCTGAGAGTCTCCCACAATCAGAATATTCTTATCTTGATTAGCAGGGAAGTCCGAGGTACCTATAACCTCACTAACCACTGAAGTACACTCGTCTTCGAGAACAGAGAATCGATTTCCTACCTTCACATCTCTATTAACCCTCCTTATCTTCTTTCTTCTTGAACTGTGAACCAATTGTCACTTAAAGTGGCTGCCACTCTCACTGGTGGTAAGCATTTCCTCCTTACCAGCACCAACTACCTCACACTCACTCCCAAACACATCTAGGCGAAGCTTCAGCTTCCCATTTCCCTCCTGAAGAAGTAGAACCTCCTTCAACACTCTAATCTGAGATTCTAAAACACTACAACAAGCCATGGTGCTCTGCAACACCCCACGCTAATACCCAGACAGCTCAGAACAGGTATGACCGCACATGACCACTGACCCCAGCATACTGACCATATTTTCTATGACTAATTCTTTAGACGAAGCAAAATATGACGGTTAGTTTATTTGTATTAAGGCCTAGCATTAGCAAGGTCATTAATGCTGCACCTAGGATGTGCAGCACGAGGCGAAAATAAATTTGCTCTTACAATGGGAGCTAAAGGTAACTGCATGCACGTGTATATCGAACTACCTCGTTGTAAATACTCTTGCCAACAAGGAATGGAACACTTTCTCTCCACTATCTCATGCTGGGTTCTATCTGTAATGTTAAGAAAATTATCTCCACATTAGTTGATGGTTCTCTTAGTTTATGTATACTTAAAATCTTGCTGCCTCGGTGGGAGACGGCCGACTTGTTGAAAAAAAAAAAAAAAAAAAAATATAATATTATATATATTATATATATATAAAAATAATAATATAATAATATATATATATATATATAATTATATTATATATATATATATATATTATATATATAAATATATATATATATATATAATATAATATATATATATATATATAATATATATATATATATATAATATATATATATATATATATATATTATATATATATATATATATATATATATATATATATATATATATATATATATATATATTATATATATATATATATATATATATATATATATATTATATATATATATATAATATATATATATATATATATATATATATATATATATAATATATATATATATATATATATAATATATATATATATAATATATATATATATATATATATATATTATATATATATATATATATATATATATATATATATTATAATATATATATATATATATATAATATTATATATATATATATATATATATATTATATATAATATATATATATATATATTTTATGTACAAGCCATATCATTAGTTTTACCTATACACATTGCAAGAAAAATATAGCACTTGGTTAACTTATTCCTGGGTTGTCCTATACAGTAAATTCTGACGCTTACACTAGACAACTGATCAGTATGTTCGGTCAGCTACTGAAATATATGTAGATATTTATATGTTATATTAGCATTCTGATTCTAAATTTGAAGTCGAAATTAAGTTAGCTCGTCAGGATTTTTAGTAACTGGTAAACATTTAATTTCAAGAATTGTTTATTTATAAATCATGTTCCATCAAAATTTACAGCACAGGTAATATAATGAGTCATTAAAAACTTATTCCCTATTATAAAGTAACTGCTAAATAATGCTTCAAGGACATTAAGCATCATATTCTCACTGGAAGTAGAAAATATTTAATAGTGTTGTAGGCATTTGGCTTTACTCTTATGACTATCAGACTGGGACTGAAACGCCCCTGAGATCGGGCCTTCATTGTACTGATATCCTGATGAAATCCTTTATCATGTACATTATTAACAGAATCAAGGCTGGATGGAAAGAAGTCCAGGCGTGAATGAAGATAGAGCATTTTCAAGGACGTACGGCAACCCAATGTTCTGTAGGCTTCTACGCTAATTCGGAATAATTGTGAGGTCTACTCTTCCTCGGATGTTCCAAACAATCTGCTTGAAAGCATCTCATGCAAGCAGGTCCATCGGGGTCAGTGTTAATAGGAAGACTGGGTAGGATAACAGTTCACATATGTGTCGTCCAACAAATACTCCGGCCATTAGTTTTGCGTCAGTTAAAGCTTTTCTAATTTTACAACATTTTTCATTAGGCCCAACTTTATATGCAACTGGGGAAGAAATATATTTTTTAGGGACACCAAGGGTATATATTTCAAGCTGAATTTTCCTGGATTAAGGACTTTTCTTGCCGGCAACTCTTTGATCTTATGGTCCTTAGCGCCGTCATGATTATTCCAAAACGAAATACGTGAGATAAATGTAACTAAGTTAGAGATGTAACTAAGTTAGGTCCCTACATATATTCCACTTGTGGTCTTTGTATTTTGTTAGTCAGAGTAGAATTCCCATGGACTACAATGTTTCTTTTAGCTCTTCAACATGAGCCATTGGCAGAGAAAGATTCTCATTACAATTTCGATTCGTCCAGAAGGTGTTCATGGGCAAGTTCCTCCATAAGATCATTCACATCAAAGCAGAAATATAAACCGTTCTCCATTTGTAAGAATGCCGCAAAATTAGTATGGTGTTCGTGAAAACCAGTTATTTTTATTCTTTCTGCTAAAAGGATCAGCTCTTGATGATTTAATTGGTTAATGTTTCTGATATGTCATTTAACTCCTGTAGAGTGACTGAGGTAGTCTGCAAGTCTCAAATTCAGGTGGGTCACGAAGATCAGTGTTATCAGTTTTCTCACTACTATGACGTTCAGTATCATAAAAAACAGCCGTAACAGGTATATGAGTGTCCTTACTGTGTAGCACAGGTACTATAGCCGACTCACAATCTTGATATGTTATCTTGTTATAATTTTCTTAAGAAAAAATCCACATTTAAGACACAAAAGTAACAGTCATTCAGGTGATTCTTCGCTTATCGTCATATCACTGGGATTGTAAATGGCATTGATGTACGTTTCACATTCAGCCACTGTATCCAAAGTAGCACACGGTGCAGCATTTGCAAGGAGCCCAGTTTTATTTTGATTACCTACTGTGCAGCTGATGTAATGCCTGTATGCATTCTTGGCACGATTTTGTTATTTAATCACATGGTGTATCGTTACCACTTATATAGAAAAAGCTGTCTGACCTCTTCAGACTTCCTCGTCTGTTTATATTTATCCAAAATAGAGATGTCATATAACAGAGTAAAAAGGAAAAAAAATAGAATGCAAACATGGATATGTGTATGTGGCAGGAAAATGTAATTTAAGCAAAATAAACACAGAAGTACACAATGCATGGAACCTTTTGTAAATATGTTGGAACACAGGGACAGCCAGAACAAATCGGATGCTGTCTGACTCTTCCTGTCAAGCAGGCATTGTATGTTGGATTTGTGTTTATGCATTTAAGTTCCAGTAACATAAAGTCACATGTGTTGCCAATATCTTAAGTAATGGGTTAATTCTGACTTTAGATTCAGTTTGAGCATGCCAGCAAGAGAAAAGGCAAATTTATTTATAGATTTAGAAAATTTACTGTTATCTATTGTTATTTGTAAGCTCTTGTAAGGAAAATTTCACCAACCACATGAATGAAATTGGATTCGATACATATACGTTTTAAATAATGCAATAAGGGGGAAACACAATAGATTTTGGTGATTATCGGTTTCAGTTATAACCCTGACAACTTTCCATGGGTTTAATTTCGGCCAACTTTCTACCTGTGGAATCGGGTTAAAGACAGCATTATTTTAGCTCGTGAGAGAAATTTGCTCAAATGTCATTACAACTGCGCATTATTTATTGGTTGTCGTGTGCTTAGCCCTAGTTTCCTTCATGTTCGTGACTGCACCATCCACATCATTATCATTATCGTCTTCACCGTCTCCTTTATCTTTCTCTTCTTCTGTTTCTTCTATATCTCTATATTCCACTGTACCATTTAGGGATGCTGGTGTAGGCAGTAGTAGGGTTGACTGTTTATTAAAGGAAGGAACAGCAGTGGAATTGGACAGAGAATGGCAACAGAAAGGCTGCTTGTGATACAGGATGAAAATTATGCAGATTGATTAATTAGAGCAAACTGATACTATTGATAATTATAATGTGGATTGGTTAGGTTATGGTGATGGAAACTGATATGATGAGACTGATAAAAATGGATGATTGTGAATATGGACCCGATGACGGTGACTGTGATGATGAATGCGATATAGTATAGATATTATCTTCCATTTTCCCAACTCTCAAATGTGTCTAAGTCTTCTTCATCAGTCAGCTGCTGCATCAGTTGCCGGTGAAAGGTCGACGACAGTTCAGACTTTATTACCTCAGAAGATTCGACCATAAACACCGCCTTGTACGGACAACATCGAATTCCTTGATTCAAAGAACTAGACGAAGGAGAAGTAGGAAAACCAATCCCTTGTCCAGTTTTAATGGATCCAGCTGCTCAGCGTCTGAGGAAGATATAAAACAATGAATTTCAGAAAAGATAAAACAATACTTATAGGATGAGAAAAGATTCTTGAATTGACAGCTAATGAACGAATGATGGTGAATGTGTTTCCTTGTTTAGGTTTGGGTCACATTATTCTCGATAACTGTTGACATCTGAAAAAATCTGCGTGTATTTTGGTCGCTCGACCCGAGAAAACTATCATCTTATTTCATCAGCTCAGAATCCTCTAGTTCACTGAGTGGTCATTAAATTATAATGCAAAATAAATAAATAAAAAACGTATAAATGTGTGTGCGTCTTTATTAGTTTGAATTTCAATAAGCATGCGCATTTTCATGTATATATATATATATATATATATAGGTACGACATATATATATATATATATATATATATATATATATATATATATATATATATATATATATATATATATATAATATATATATATATATATATATATATATATATATATATGTCGTACCTAGTAAGCCGAATCGTTCAGTTTGGACTATTTGATAAGGGTTTACTTTGCCGAATAAACGAAATGAAAATTCATTTATGCTATAAATCTTCGGAAATCGATCTGAAGATAACGAAAAATGGACATATCATAGATTTAGTGTAATATTAAATAATTTTAAGGGACCCGTGGCCTGGCTGGAAATGCTCTCACTTCACAAGATGAGGGCTTGAGTTCGATTCCCGGCAGAGTGGAAACATTTTGATGCGTTTCCTTACACCTGTTGTCCTGTTCTCCAAGTAAGTACCTGGATGATATTCGAATGGTGTGGGTCGCATCCTCGGGGACAAGATTGAGGACCCCAATGGAAATAAGACATTCCTCGATGATGAACCGCCTTTCTTAGGTTATCCTGGGTCTATAACTCTCCGGGTTTAAAAGTCCAAACAAAATCTTATCTGACCAATGATATACATATACATGTACATCAGTGCTTCATCAGGAGCTATGCAATGTTGCAAGGCTGCAACTGAATGAGTGAGGGGAAGTTTTCTCAGAATAGCGCAGTGTGGGTCTGTCACCTGCTGTTGTCTCTCTCAGAATGTGGGCCAGCGGTCAGTAATAGAGCACTGCAAACCTTGTTCCATGGTTCGTAGGTTCGAGTCTCCGTCGACCTGAGATTAGTGTTTGCGAATATTTCGCCTATTCAGCGAATTCTAAACACTGTAAAAATCTCTCGTCGGTCGTTGCATGCAGGGGATGAGATGGAAAGCTGAAAGCCACCTGCCTGAAAGTGGCTTTCAGCGTTACCTGGGCACCAGGGTATTGGTCCAGTGTGGTACGATGGTAGAGCATTGCGTACCTTGTTCTAAGGTTTGTAGGCTTGAGTCTCCTTTAAGCTGAGATTAGTGTTTGTATATATATATATATAATATATATATATATATATATATATATATATATATATATATATATATTATATATATATATATATAATATATGTCGTGCCGAATATGTAAAACTGGTCAATTAGCAAGAACTCATTTAAAATTAAGTCCTTTCTGAAATTTTCTCTTATCCGTTTAAAGATATATTTTTTTCATTAATGTTATTGTAAAAATTTTTAATTTTGCACCAAAAGAATCTTAGAAAACTTACCTAACCTTATTATAACAAGAGCAATTTATTTTAGCCTAACCCAACTAAATATATTTTAGATTTGTTTACAGTAATTTAATACTAAACAAACACAGTGAAATATATTTTTTTCGTTAGGTTCAGAATGATTTTGGCGAAATTATTGCATACACAAATTTTCACTTGTCCTATACAGCAAGATGAGCGTTGCTATTTAAGCCAAGATCGCAAGTTCTGCCTATTCGGCACGACATACATACATACATACATATATATATATATATATATATATATATATATATATATAATATATATATATATATATATATATATATATATATATATATATATATATATATATATATGCAAAAGAACCACTGTGAAAGAATAGTGAAATTCCAAGCGCTTTCGTGACTACTCACATTATCAAGGAACTATGAAAGTAATACATTAAAGGAAGGAAATTAAAGGGCAAAGACCACACCTCACAGTCAACTCCCACAACAAAGAAACACCTGACGCGCGACAATACCGGCCTCATAAGAAAAGAGGAACACTGCAGTAGGTCCGCTGGTCCAACTAGACAGGTCCTCACGACATCCCACTAACAAAATATTCTACCCAAGAAATAAGGTTTAATATTTGTCTAATGTATTATTAAATTCTTCCCAAATTTTATTAATTATAAATGAATCTAATTTATATAAACCAAAGAAAATATTCATATTATTTTCAAAACTGCTTTTTGTGAAACAAGATTCAATTATATTTCTGTCAACCAATATATATATATGTATATATATATATATATATATATATATATATATATATATATATATATATATATATATATATATATATATATATATATATATACTGTATATATTAGGTTGGCTACAGCAACCACCCAGGGAGGTATTATCGTCCTGCAAAGTGAGTGCGACACAGAAACCTGTAACTGTTTTACATGATGGTAGGCCTGCTGGTGTTATTTTTTCTTTCTTATAAACACGCAGGATAACAAGTATATCCTGCTACTTCTATTTACACTTAGGTCACACTACACAGGCTTGCACATGCATATATACATGAAAACATCTAGGTTTTCTCCATTTGCTTAATAGTTCTTGTTCTTCTTTTTTTCCCTATTCTCCATGGGGAAGTGGAAAAGAATCTTTCCTCCGTAAGTCATGCATGTCGTATAAGGCGACTAAAATAACAAGAGCAATGGGCTCATAACCTCTTCTGCTGAAAATACTAAAAAAAAAAAAAAGAGAAGAAAAACTTTATAAAACTGGAACGCTTGAATGTGCATGGATGTCGTGAGGATGATAAGAAAGAGGTGATATGCTAATGTTATGAATGAAAAGACGTTAGATGTCTTGGCTCTAAGTGAAACAAAGCTGAAGGGGTAGCTGAGTTTCAGTGGGCAGAAATAGAGGGGATTATGTCAGGAGTATCTGACAGAGTTAAGGAAGGGGTTGCAATAATGTTGAATGATCGGTTATGGTAGGAAAAGAGGAAAATATATATATATATATATATATATATGTAAATTCAAGGATTTATGTGGAATAAAATAAGGGTCAGACACGAAAAGTGGGTTATAAAAAGTGTGTATGCAACTGGAGAAGAGAGGAGTGTAGAGGAGAGAGAGAGAGAGAGAGAGAGAGAGAGAGAGAGAGAGAGGAGAGAGAGAGAGAGAGAGAGAGAGAGAGATTTTGGGAGATGTTAAGTGAGTGTGTAGGAACTTTTGAACCAAGTGAGAGAGTAATTTTGGTAGGGGATCTAAGTGTTAAAGTACGAGAAACATTTAAAGAGGGTGTGGTAGGTAGATTTGGGGTGTCACGTGTCAATGATAACGGAGGCCCTTTGATTGTACTTTGTATGGAAAGGAATTTGGTTATAGGTAATACATATTTTAAGAAAAAGAGGAAAAAGAAGTGTAAAAGATATGATGTAGGGCATAATTACAGTAGTTTGTTGGACTATGTATTGGTAGGTAAAAGACTGATGAGTAGACTTCAATATGTACATGTTTACAGAGGGGCCACAATTATATCAGACCACTTTTTAGTTGTAACTACAGTGAGAGTAAAAGGTATATGAGTTACAAGGAGAATGGAAACAGCAAGTAAGAGAAAGGTGAAGGTTTATAAGCTAAAGGAGGAGGTAGTTAGGGTAAGATATACACAACTATTGGAGGATAGATGGGCTGGTGAGAGGATAGGTAATGCGGTTGAAGATGTATGGGGAAGGTTTAAAAATGTAGTGTTAGAGTGTTCAGCAGAAGTTTGTGGTTACAGGAAAGTGGGTGCGGGAGGGAAGAAGAGCGATTGGTGGAATGATGATGTAAAGAGAGTGGTAAGAGAGAAAATGTGATGCAAGGAGGGAGGAGTATATGGAGAAAAAAAGAGAGGTTAAGAGAGTAGTGAAGCGATATAAAAAGAGAGCAAATGAGAGAGTGGGTGAGATGTTGTCAACAAATTTTGTTGAAAATAAGAAAAATTTTTGGAGTCTAATAAGTTGTGGAAGCGTAGGGAACGAATGGATTTGATAGTTAAAAATAGGAGAGGAGAGTTAAATGGTGAGTTAGAGGAATCAGGAAGATGGAGAGAATATTTTGAGAAATTGTTAAATGTTGATGAAGATAGGGAAGCTGTGATTTCGTGTATAGGGCAAGGAGGAATAACATCTTGTAGGAGTGAGGAAGAGCCAATTGTGAGTGTGGGGAAGTTCGTGAGGCAGTGGGTAGAATGAAAGGGGTTAAGGCTGCATGGATTGATGGGATAAAGTTAGAAATGTTAAAAGTAGGTGGGATGTAGTTTTGGAGTGGTTGGTGCTTTTATTTAATAAATGTATGGAACAAGGTAAGGTACCTAGGGATTGGCAGAGAACATGCATAGTTCCTGCATATAAAGGCATAGGGGACAAAAGAGTGTGCAAAATTATAGGGGAATAAGTCTGTTGAGTATACCTGGTAAAGTGTATGGTAGAGTTATTACTGAAAGAATTAAGAGTAAGACGGAGAATAGGATAGCATATGAACAAGGAGGCTTTAGGAAGGATAGGGGGTGTGTAGACCAAGTGTTTACAGTGAAACATTTAGATGAACAGTATTTAGATAAAGGTAAGGAGGTTTTTGTGGCATTTATGGATTTGGAAAAGGCATATGACAGGGTGGATAGTGGGGCAATATGGCAGATGTTGCAAATGTATTGAATAGGAGATAGGTTATTGAAAGCCTTGAAGAGTTTTTACGAGGATAGTGAGGCTCAGGTTAGAGTATGTAAGAGAGAGGGATATTATTTCCCAGTAAAAGTAGGCCTTAGACAAGGATGTGTGATATCACCATGGTTGTTTAATATATTTATAGATGGGTTTGTAACAGAAGTGAATGCTCGGGTGCTGGCAAGAGGTGTGAGTTTAAAAGACAAAGAATCTAACACAAAATGGGAGTTGTCACATTTTCTCTATCCTGACGGCACTGTGCTTTTGGGAGAGTCTGAAGAGAAGTTGCAATAAGTTGGTGCATGAGTTTGGTAGGGTATATACAAGAAGAAAATTAAAAGTGAATTTAGGAAAGTGTAAGGTGATCAGGATAACCAAAAAATTAGGTAACGAAAGATTGGATATCAGATTAGAGGGAGAGAGTATGGAGGAGGTGAATGTATTGAGATATTTAGGAGTGGACATGTCAGCAGATAGATATATGAAAGATGAGTTGAATCATAGAATTGACGAGGGGAAAAAGGCGAGTGGTGCACCGAGGAGTCTGTGGAGACAAAGAATTTTATCCATGGAAACAAAGAGGGTGCTGTATGAGAGAATAGTTATACTAACACTCTTATATGGGTGAGAAGCATGGGTGGTGAATGTTGCATCAAAGAGAAGGCCAGAGGCAGTGGAGATGTCATGTCTGAGGGCAATGTGTGATGTGAATATAATGCAGGCATATCATAGTTTGGAAATTAGGAGGTGGTTCGGAATTACCAAAACTATTACCCAGAGGGCTGAAAAGGGGTTGTTGAGGTGGTTTGGTCATATAGAGAGGATTGAACGAAATAGAATGACTTCGAGAGTGTATAAATCTGTAGTGGAGGGAAAGCAGGGTAAAGGTCGGCCCAGAAAAGGTTGGAGGGAGGGGGTAAAGGAGGTTTTGTGTGTGAGGGGCTTGGACTTACAGCAAGGATGCATGAACGTGTTTGATAATGAATGGAGACAAATGGTTTTTAGGACTTGATGTGCTGTTGGAGTGTGAGCAAGGTAACATTTATGAAAGGATTCGGGGAAACCAGGAGGCCGGACTTGAGTCCTGGAGATGGGAAGTACAGTGTCTGCACTCTGAACGAGGGGTGTTAATATTGCAGTATTATAACTGGAGCAAAAGAGCACCTCTGGCAAGACAGTGATGGAGTGAATGATTAAAGTTTTTTCTTTTTCGGGTCACCCTTCCTTTGTGGGAGACGACCAATGCTATAATAGATAAAATAAAAAAAGGGTATCGTTAACAGAACTTCGGCTAGCCTGGATTCGATCCTGTATCACCATGCCCAACCCCATGAGAACAGGACAATGTACGCATCACTCTATCCACTGGGCCAATAATCCTCAAACACCAGACTCCCAGTGAAACTAGGCTGGAAAACATGCCCAGTTCCATTGGCCTATTCGCCAAGTTTGGCTTATTTAGTACGACATATATATTTGCTTTCTTGTTACAAAATTGTTTCCGTGGCCACTGTACCATTGTTCATCATTGTAGTCGTTGTCGGTGATGTAGTATTTTTTTTAAGTTATTATTAATATTTTTATTATTATCATTATTATTATTATTATTATTATTATTATTATTATTATTATTATTATTATTATTATTATTATTATTATTATTACCAGTAGTAGTCGTAATAGTAGTAGTAATAGTTGGTACCTGCTTCACGTCGCCGTTCGGTCTTCCGTTGGTTCCCTGCCTCCGATGGTGACAGGTGACAGGTCGTGGCGCTGGTTCCCTGACGCCGATGGTGACGAGTGACAGGTCGTGGCGTTGGTTCCCTGACGCCGATGGTGACGAGTGACAGGTCTTGGCGTTGAAGTCGATCATGTTGAGCCACAGCATTGAGGATAAGTTTTGCTACGAACTTCTGACCCTTGTTACTGAAAGTCTTGGAAGTAATGAAGATGGTGAAGTTGACAAACTGGCGGCTCACTTCGTTCGCTTGCTTGGTGGGTAGATGAACGACTAGAGAAAAGTTGGTGAAGTAGTTTTTATAATGCATGAGGTAGCTAAACAGAAGAGTTGCTTCCTTTTGAGTGTAGATCAAATTAATCTATCGTCTCTCTTTGAATCTATCTATTTGAATGGGCCTCGCTACGATCTTCTTGCAGAAGAATTTTTTTTGTAACAAGTTCAGCAGAGAGAGAGAGAGAGAGAGAGAGAGAGAGAGAGAGAGAGAGAGAGAGAGAGAGAGAGAGAGAGAGAGAGAGAGAGAGAGAGAGAGAGAGAGAGAGAGAGAAAGGCTTCACCTGGCAGAACGTCGTGTTGGCCACAGACTGGTGGACATGGGTGGACCTCTCCTCCGTGAGCGGTGACATCTTGAGAGTAATATACGGTCTCAAATAGGTCTCAGAAATGCGGGTATCGGCGACGCTTAGTAGCAGAGATGGAGGCGACAGAGGCTGCTAAAGTAGACTTCCCAAGCGTCGGATTATTTCACTGGGACATTCAACCAGTTTCAGATTGTCGTTACTGTCTGTGTCATATCTGTAGCAAAGAATCAGAGAGCATCTTTTGAAATGCACAATCTCTAACGACTCTCAGAGGAAAACAGTTTGGGAAGAAATAAGAAATTTTATCGGTGTATTTGTTACATTTGTTTTGTAACAAAATATTTAAATATACCATGTAAATTCACAGTAATGGATAATTTCTAAGGATATACAGGGTTCAAATTGTGCAAGAAAGATATAAAATACCGACAAAATGAAAGTTAAGACACATGTGCAACATCTGGATATCTATATTGTAGACGTTTCGCCATCCTTGTGGCTTTATCAATAGAAATTCTAGGATATAATTAGAAGACAGTAGAACTATATACAAAAGATGAGGTAATCAGTCCCTCAGCCTTGGAATTGGTGTTGAGAGCACCGTAGTGGTAGAGATTCTGAAGCAAAGGCAAGGTGACTGGCGTTTATATAGGTGTAAGTGGATAGGGACGTGTAACAGACGACGGCATAGTCACTGGTAGGCGGGAATCCCCAGAGGAAGTAGGTTCTACCCAAAGGGATGGTTTGAAATTATTTGACCTACTCTACTTTTGAAGCATGAAAGTGGAGCCTCTGTTTCCTAATGGTTATGAGCGTAGGTTGTGGTTCACTAGAATGTTGTGAAGTTCCTAATCTCCAGAAAATAATCTCTCTCTCTCGCTCACTCTCCCTTTACACAGTATTGTTGCAATGGTTGCCGAAGGTATACTACCTCATTATACAAGCAAAGAGCTGTTTCCTACCTCAGCTCATTCAAAAACTTTTCCGGGGAGTGTTTAATAAGTGGTTATAAGCACATGCAGATTTAAACCAGTTTTCATAACACCCAGGAAAAAATATTTTGGTACAACATTTCTCACTACATGACTATAGACAGCATATAAATAATAACTATTTTATATTTATGAAATATACAAAAGGGGGAAGAGGATAAAGCAGTGACTTGATATTGGCAAAAGATTAATATATTAAGGCTATTCGATTCTGTTCCAAATTCGAATCATTCTAGGAGAGAATGATCACAGATGTCATGATGTTCTAAAGAAAGTTACTGCTAATGTGTGGGATACTGCCAGTTGCTGTACTCTGTATCATTGTCTTTGAGGATAACAATAAGATTACCTACATCTCTCCGATATTGACGACTCTGCTGGGATGACGGATCCAGCGAAGCTGGATAGAAATAAATAGGAAAAATTAGATACATAGAGACACCTAGCGGTCCTTCAGTGATCTAGAAGGAAGATGACGCTGATAGCCATCATTTTAACATCGACGTGAGAGCACCTCCTTTCAAGTTTCTGTCTCACGAGTCCCACTCTGTGTCCCAACATTACTTGGTAGTTAACAATGTACTTCAGAGGCCAGAGATGGATAACAGGCAATCCAAGACAGTAAGGTCATATTCAGTGTGATGGAGCACCTGTCCCTCGTATAGAGTTTTGCAGCCTCAGCAGTCAATTAATTAGGTACATTATAGGCCATAGTATAATGTTCTTAACTTCTTGGCTGCCTTTCTTGAAAGATTTACTAAGTGATTATCTAATTAAAGAAAGCATTCTTTAGATACCGAATAAAAAAATTGAACAAAATAGTCTAATTGGGTCTTATGTCCTTATTTCCTTTCTGGAAATCACTCCAGTGGTGAAAATGTAGAAACGTTCTAGTGATTATTCTCCAATAATGACACGGATTCCAACTATTCCAAGTTTATTTTTTACTGTTATTCTACAAAAATTTTCCTATTGAACTTAACAGATCCGGGTCCAGCAGAACTTACCGGAATCCTGTCGGATTATCTTATGAAGTCTGTAAAAGAATCCTTACAAGCCTCCGATGAGGCTCCGAAAAAAATGTGAAAGCTAAGAGAAATTTCATCAAGAGCATCAATACTTAAGTTATCTAATGTGAAAAATATATTTAGGAGCAGTTTAACTGCAGTACCATGATGCCTCTCGCTTTCCTGTGTGTTTTACTGCAGTACCATGATGCCTCTCGCTTTCCTGTGTGTTTAACTGCAGTACCATGATGACACTCGCTTTCCTGTGTGTTTTACTGCAGTACTATGATGACACTCGCTTTCCTGTGTGTTTAACTGCAGTACCATGATGACACTCGCTTTCCTGTGTGTTTTTCTGCAGCACTATGATGACACTTGCCTTCCTGTGTGTTTAACTGCAGTACAATGATGACACTCGCTTTCCTGTGTGTTTTACTGCAGTACCATGATGACACTCGCTTTCCTGTGTGTTTTACTGCAGTACCATGATGACACTCGCTTTCCTGTGTGTTTTACTGCAGTACTATGATGACACTCGCTTTCCTGTGTGTTTTACTGCAGTACCATGATGACACTCGCTTTCCTGTGTGTTTTACTGCAGTACCATGATGACACTCGCTTTCCTGTGTGTTTTACTGCAGTACTATGATGACACTCGCTTTCCTGTGTGTTTTACTGCAGTACCATGATGACACTCGCTTTCCTGTGTGTTTTAGTGCAGTACCATGATGACACTCGCTTTCCTGTGTGTTTTACTGCAGTACCATGATGACACTCGCTTTCCTGTGTGTTTTACTGCAGTACCATGATGACACTCGCTTTCCTGTGTGTTTTAGTGCAGTACCATGATGACACTCGCTTTCCTGTGTGTTTTAGTGCAGTACCATGATGACACTCGCTTTCTTGTGTGTTTTACTGCAGTACCATGATGACACTCGCTTTCCTGTGTGTTTTACTGCAGTACCATGATGACACTCGCTTTACTGTGTGTTTAACTGCAGTACCATGATGACACTCGCTTTCCTGTGTGTTTTACTGCAGTACCATGATGACACTCGCTTTCCTGTGTGTTTTACTGCAGTACCATGATGACACTCGCTTTCCTGTGTGTTTTACTGCAGTACCATGATGACACTCGCTTTAGTGTGTGTTTTACTGCAGTACCATGATGACACTCGCTTTCCTGTGTGTTTTACTGCAGTACCATGATGACACTCGCTTTCCTGTGTGTTTTACTGCAGTACCATGATGACACTCGCTTTAGTGTGTGTTTTACTGCAGTACCATGATGACACTCGCTTTCCTGTGTGTTTTACTGCAGTACCATGATGACACTCGCTTTCCTGTGTGTTTTACTGCAGTACCATGATGACTCTCGCTTTCCTGTGTGTTTTACTGCAGTACTATGATGACTCTCGCTTTCCTGTGTGTTTTACTGCAGTACCATGATGACACTCGCTTTCCTGTGTGTTTTACTGCAGTACCATGATGACTCTCGCTTTCCTGTGTGTTTAACTGCAGTACCATGATGACACTCGCTTTCCTGTGTGTTTTACTGCAGTACCATGATGACTCTCGCTTTCCTGTGTGTTTTACTGCAGTACCATGATGACACTCGCTTTCCTGTGTGTTTTACTGCAGTACCATGATGACTCTCGCTTTCCTGTGTGTTTAACTGCAGTACCATGATGACACTCGCTTTCCTGTGTGTTTTACTGCAGTACCATGATGACACTCGCTTTCCTGTGTTTAACTGCAGTACCATGATGACACTCGCTTTCCTGTGTGTTTTACTGCAGTACCATGATGACTCTCGCTTTACTGTGTGTTTTACTGCAGTACCATGATGACTCTCGCTTTCCTGTGTGTCTTACTGCAGTACCATGATGACACTCGCTTTCCTGTGTGTTTTACTGCAGTACCATGATGACTCTCGCTTTACTGTGTGTTTTACTGCAGTACCATGATGACACTCGCTTTCCTGTGTGTTTTACTGCAGTACCATGATGACTCTCGCTTTCCTGTGTGTTTTACTGCAATACTATGATGACACAAATAACCCGCACATAAAAAAGAGAAGCTTACGACGACGTTTCGGTCCGACTTGGACCATTTACAAAGTCACACTAACCAGAAGTCGAGCAGAACGGCTATATATAGGCAGGAAGAGGTGGTAATACTAGTAGTAGTAGTACAAGAATGGTATATAATACCGACAAGATGAAATCAAGACATGCGCAACACCCGGGAATCCCCATTGTAGACGTTTCGCCATCCAGCCAGCCACTGGAGGGCGAAACGTCCACAACAAAGACACCCGGACGCCGCACATGTGTCTTAATTTCATCAGTGGTAGTAGTAGTAGTAGTGGTAGTAGTAGAAGAGGTAGTAGTAGTGGTAGTGGTAGAAGTGGGGAATAAGAAGGACGAGCCAGTCAAATACAAAGGAAGGGGAGCACTGCAAGAGAGCTAGGTGCCCACAGAGGGAGAGCAAGCGCAGAGAGGTGCGTGAAAGGGGAAGTGGTGAAATAAATGAAGAAGGAACAGAAACACGAGACAGAAGAGAGAAAGACAACCCAGAGGAGAAAAAGGAAAGAGGAAAGGGGAAGAGGGAGAAGAAGAAAAAGAAAAAGAAAAAATGAGGAGTCAGGTTAAGTCACGGGTGTTCTGAAGTTTGGAGCATTTTACAGTGTAGTGGGAGAGGAAGTCATCTACAGAGACGAAGCCAGGGCTAAGGTTCATACAAGGAAAGTTGTGTATTAGAGAGGATTCAACTAGACGGCGACTGTTCGAGTTGGAAGTAGGGAAGACAGTTTTAGCAGAAGACGAGTCAATAGGATGGCTATGATCTCTGACGTGACAGAAAAGAGCAATGTTAGTGTCGGCAAGCCTAACACTATTTTTGTGCTCCCTAAGTCTGTCAGAAAGAGATCGATCAGTTTCTCCGAAGTATTGAAGAGGACAGGAGGAGCAAGAAATAGAGTAGACACCAGGAACATCTGTAGAGGGATTGTTAGGTAAGACACATATGCAACAGTTAGGTATCTTTATTTCGAAACGTTTCGCCTACACAGTAGGCTTCTTCAGTCGAGTACAGAAAAGTTGATAGAAGCAGAAGATACTTGAAGAGGATGTAATCAGTCCATCACCCTTAAAGTTTTGAGGTGGTCAGTCCCTCAGTCTGGAGAAGAGCATTGTTCCGTTGTTTCAGACAAC